TTGCAAGTACCTGTGCTTATCGCATTTCTGTTCTGCCATATCTAGCACGTCTACTTATAGACAAGGACACAATTTCCGCAGAATTGTGCAATTGCTTGCTTTATTGAGAAACACAATATCTACTGCTTTAATTGTGTTCACTATGTACGATTTTGTAAATTTGAATCCACAAATATGGTGTAATTGCTGAAATACACCCATCCGGGTGCATAAAGCTACTACTGACTGACTGACTGAATCGTTAGTATTACATTTGGGACCACCCCCGCCACGATGCAATTTGAGATGAATGGGTAAAGTTGAATTGGGTTTAATTCTATCCCCTAGATCATCTCAGTTACTAACTTAGGAAGAGATTTATGAGTTGCGGTTGACGAGAAGAAATGGCGCTGTAGTGGAGGATAGTAGAATATAAAAAGGTGAGCGGAGAAATACGTTCATAATCTCAAAACTGTGAGACTGCCAACTGTTTTGACTATAATTCGGATTGTTATGACAGTTATGAAACGAAACGGTCTTGGCTTTTTGTCACAGATTTATAAGTATCTACTTTGCTACTGATAGACTAAGGAATCTGACATCCCAAACTTAGGAATATTTGGACTTCTATTAGTTTTTATGGGTAGCGGTTCGCTATTTCCCTCAACGACACTGCAAGCATATCCAAAGTCCACCTGACTGCAGTTTTTATCAAGGTAACGACTAAATTATTCTACTTTTATGTTCACCCTTTCGTTGTTCCAACAAACCCCAGGTTTGCCTTCACGGTTCCCTTTTTGCACGACCGACTGAGCTCAGGTACCATCAAGTGAGATCACTTTGGCCTATATAGTGCACACAAAATTTATATGGACAGTCAATCTTTTCCAGCCAATTTCAACCCTTCGATTCCCCAAAGTTCGGGTACGATGCAATGGAGCCCGACGGTGTCCTTCCCCAAATAGGCACTGAATGAAAATTTAACACATTGTGCGCCGTTTTTGGGAATTTGGTAATATGTCACCGAAGTTTGCCATCGGACCTTCTGTTTGCTTGGATCCTGTCGCCAGATATACGTGGTGGTCCCGCCGTCGGTGGCGCTGAACAAAAAGATTCAATAAAACCTTCATTCTTGTTGATTAACTCACTGGCATTGAGACGGTACGTGCGACGGCCAAGCCGTCAATCAAGCACCGGACTGCGACTAATGGATTCACGTGAAGTTAAAACGGCTTTAGAGTATCCAACTTGGATTAGATCATTCGATTGTTCAGAGGCACTAGGTACTCTTGATGGTCTTGGGTCTGGGTTTCATTCCTTTGGAGATCGTTAATTCCCCACGAGGTAAATACAATCAAGTTGAAATGGTAAAAGTCCTATGGCCGACCGCTGATTGATGGCTCGAAGCCTTGACAGAACATCGTTAGCAATCGATGGCTTTGATACGGACCGGAGTTACCTGGATATTGAAGAGAATATGTTGGATAACAAAATTTTGAATAATGAGTATCCATGATAGAAAATAATAACTCCAAGTAGATACCTTGTGGTGGGCCGTCATATGGTGCTGGTGACCTGGTGGTTGCCAGGACAATGATGCTGATGTTTTGTTATCCCCGTTTTTTTACCTGTATCTTTTCGTTCACCCATGGTTATTTTTGGCGCCGCATCTGTAAAGATTGGTGTTAAAACACACACACACACACACATATATATATATATATTTATATATATTGGAACTTTGCTTCGTAATCGCGTATAAAGTCGAGCGAAAAACATTTGGAAGTTTCCCTCTGTCAAGGCAAGCCTAACCGTCCCCTGAGAATTCTCGCAGTTGGGATTGGGGCAACCGCCACCGTGAGAACGTGTCGGGGTTTTCTCGATCGTACTGAATGCGCGGGTGTCAGTGTAACGGACAGAGTACGGTGACCTGATTCGTGAATTTCCACTATCGCCGCCCTGACATAACCCGCATTCCAGACAAATGTCTATAGCTTTTACAATTCAAGTTGTCCGAATATCATTTCAAAATATCCGGGTATTATTTCAAACTGTCTCGTTGGGCTCATCGGCGCTGACAGTCCCATGTACTGTTCAAGCCTCCCAGCGATATCTGTATTACCACAGTGCAGCACAGATTTCTCTGCCTCCCGTTGAGGCGCGGGTGAAAGCAGCGGAGATTAGTTAGGAGCACTTCTGAAGTCAGTGACATATCGAAATACCGTAATCAACTCACTTTTTCAATACGCAAAGTGTTGATGTTGTCAAAACACTTCTTCATATGTGGCATTACTGCTTCGGGATTTCGACCCTGACCCAAAATCTCCAGCAGGTCATCGTTGGCAATGAAGTAGAAACGCGGGAAGATTTGGCGTTTTGTTTCCAGATACATGTCCAAGGACTGCTGAATCTCTTCGAGGCTAGAAACCAATTTGTTCAAATGTTCTAACAGACCTGGAAGGAGTAAACAATGAGAGTGACAGTATTAGGGGGAAACACTCGGTGACCGTTTGGTGTAGACATACGAGTTTCGATGCAACCTAATGACCAAATGAAGTGTATTGTGCAACACGGATAAGGTCAACAATTGCAAAAAACAGTCCTTGAGACACAGAGATAGAGAGAATGGATAGGAAGTAATTCTTCACAGATTTATTACTTCTTCCCTCTGAAGAGTTTATTTAGTTTACGTGTGCATTACTGAACTGATTCAGCATGCACCACTCACAAATCAATTTCTAACAACTGCATTCTAATTTGTCTTTTTGCCGGCACGAAAAATCAATAAATTCACAACTAATTTTACGATTTGTAATGTTTAATATTCCTTTTTAACAACACCATTAATTAAGCGACTTGACGGCGGGGTATCAAATATACAAAATTGCTATAAGGTCTTATATTT